TCTAATTAAAAACTTCCCAAGCTAGTGGAATCTTGTCTGCTGACTGGAGAACAGTGGCCCCTCTCTTCCTTTTTTCCTCTCTTTTCTGTTTCTATTGTTGTTGTCATTTCCACCATCATCAGGGCACTTCATGCCAAGCCAAGCTTTGCATTTATTATCTCATTTAGTCCTAAGGGTGGTCCATCAAGGTTGTGTTTCCACCACTCCCATTTTCTAAATAAGTAAACTGTGGCTTTGAGAGGTTTGGTGACTCCACTGAAGTCCCACAGTTAGTGATATCAGACTGGCCATGGGTCTGCCTAGTCTGAAGCCCTTGTCTCCTGCCACTGCTTTCCCCACATCCCTGACTGGGCCCTGTGGATCCCTCCTTCTCTCCTGGAGCCCACCTTGCATCTCCATGCCTGTTCCTCAGACCGCCCCTTAACACTGTCCAGATTGTGCACTGCACAACTCCGTAGTCAACATAGATTTATAGAGCCATTAGGGCAACTTTCCATCAGATGGCAGTAAAGGGCTTTGAAGAAGGGGCACATTTTTTAATTTGCACAAAGTAGCCTTACTGTGCCAGGGAGAGAAAGATGAAATGTGAGATGATGCCTGCAGGTGGGTCTGGGATCCTGATTTCACACTTCACCTGGCTTCCTACAGGGACCAAGGAGGTCTTCATAGAGCCTGATCCAGGGGATCTAATCTCCTCTGACAGGGTGACTATACCCTGTGACACCTTGGAACACTGTGCTTCTTGATGGGATCTGTACCTGTGGACAAGCACATGCTTACTCTTGAGTGTATGTATGTGTGTGTTGGGAGGTTACCTCTTCTGCCAGGTTATAACCACCCTACCCTCATCCCCATGCAGGTGAGTGTCTTGTCATCAAGATGAATCTTTCTGTGGTATTCCTGGGGTGAATAGGCCAGGTGGATGAACTGCATAATCCAGCGGCACATAGGAGACACATCTTGGTCTGTGGCATGTTGGTCCTCCAGACTGATACTACCGGGGCTGAGAGAAGGCATCCTCCTTGCCCCATAACCACACTAGGCACCTGTAGATGTTGGGGGCAGAGAATCCGGAGAGGATAGATCTGTTTCTGGAGCACCAGGTTCACCGCATGGATGGTTCTGGCACCAAGTGGGGCAGCAATGATGCTGGGGGTGGGGTGGTGGAAGCTGGCCTGGGGTTTGGAGAAGGGGAGGAAGATATGGAGGACCAGTGTCCTAGAAGTGGAAGAGGGAAGGGGCACCTATGCTGTAGTGGGCTAGGACCACCTTGGGCTAGGACCCGCGGCCTGAGAGTGGAGAAGGGAGAGAGAAGAGAGATTGATCCCCTTGGGGAAACTTCGTCTTCACGACCAGTGCCCCAACTTTTATCACCAGGCCATGGCAGTGCTCTCTTGGAAGGGTGGTGCTCACCCAGCTTGTTCTGCTCCTCCATTTGAGCCCATACCCTGTCTTCCCTCAGTCCATCTCTCACTGGATGACTCCCAGAGCACATAATTCCCTTCTGGCAGGGGATGTGACTTGCCCCACTCCTCCAGCTCTCACTATCCTCACTTTTCTTCTTCTAGGGTTTTCTGCACTGCCAAGGAGCAACTGGTCCCCAGCAGTGACCCCAAACCCACCACTTTTAAGCTGCCTCAGAATTGCTGCTTCCTGAGGTGCCTGGTAAGCCCAGCTGCTACGCACATGCTCTGCACTGTCATCCGGAGCTGTCTGTTGGGAGTGAGGCTTGTGGGGATAGGATGGGGAGGCTGCCTTGGCCAATCCGGAGGGGAATGCTGAGATCTGGGGAGAAGTGGGAGTCCTTAGTAGGAGGGAGGAAGGGGCTGGGGTATTCATGGTGTCATGGTGTTTTAGTTAATACCACAAGTGGGTGAGTTTGAAGAACAGTAATTTATTTTCTCACAGCTATGGAGGCTGAGAGTCCAAATCAGGTCTTGGTCATGTCCATTCCTTCCTTGTCAGTAGCCCTGGATGTTCCTTGGTTCTTTGGCTATTGCGTATTCCTTGGCTTGTAGATGATCCTTACATGGCATCTGTCCACCCCCCTCCCCCACCCCAGTGTGGGTGTCTCTATTCCGGTTTTTTAATAACTCAGAAGGGATTAGGTTTAGGATTCAGCCTACACTGGCATGACCACATTAACATAACAAAAGAACCCCCTTTCCAAACAGGAGCGCATCCACAGGTTATAAACCAAAAACCAAACTCAACCCATTGCCATCGAGCCAATTCTGACTCATAGTGAACCTGTAGGAAAGAGTAGAACTGCCCCAGTAGGGTTTCCAAGGAGTGGCTGGTGGATTTGAACTGCCAATCCTTTGGATAGTAGCCATAGCTCTTAACCACTGTGCCACCAGGGCTCCTCCACAGGTATAAGAGCTAGGAATTCAACACATTTTTTTGGGGGTGGGGGTGGGGGCACAATGCAATCCATAACAAATGGTATTCCATGGTATGGATGTATCATAGTTTAACTGTTCACCCATTGAAGGACATCTGGTTGTTTCCAGTATTTGGCTATTACAGATAAAGCTGTTATGAACATTCCTGTACAAGTTTTTAAATTTCCAGGGATATGGGATTTAGAGACCACATCCCGGGGGCCAAGGGTGCTGACTGGGTTGGTCACTGTTTCTGAGGGCTTTTCAGTGGACAGAGCTAATATATAGGTATCTTAAAATTTAAAATACACCATGAACTTATACAGACACATCCTACTCAAATTGAAGACTACAGGAAATTTGCATACCATCATTGATTTTACATCTGTATTTCTTTTCTCCCACCAAAATTCCAGTTCTGGTGATATCAACATTATTATTTGTTTTATCCTACACATTTTCACCTATTCCCAACAATATGTTGTAGGGAAAAAACATCACAAAGTTTAGTGAGGCAAAAGGAAAGTTTTATTCGGCACATATTCAAAAAGGCAAAAGTGGGAAAAGGACAACCATGCTGCCAGAGCCATGTCTGCCCGAGTCCAAGGAAATATCACAGAACAGACAAATGTGGGAAAATGGACAAGCATGCTGTCACAGCCATGTCTGCCTGAGTCCAAAGGCCATTACAGAGTCATCAGTATATATTAACATTACAAATGGGCAAAACCATTGAAAGCTTCACCTTTTCACAAACTGTGATCCTGTATTTTGAATTGTCTTTCTTAACAATCATTGGTACAGGTTTCAGTAATGACAGTCAGGAGGGTCTTTATTGGTCCAACAAATTTCTATTCACTAAATGCTAATAGAAAAAGACAAGAGTGGAAAGTCTTTTGTGCTCTGTTTGTCTTTATGTGGAAGTTTCCCTAAAAGATATTTTCCAAGATTATTTTAGCTATTGTCTTTATTACACTTCGGGGCCCAGTTGATGTGTCCTTGTGTGTCCTTGTGAGTCCTTGTGAGCCCAGCTCCAGCTGGGTCACATTCTCTATGCTCAAGGAGAGGGAATAATAACTCCAATATTATTTCCTAAATCAAATACGACTATTGAAAACAATTTAAGATTTTTATGGCAGTTACTTTTGTCCTAGGGTGTATCCTACTAGAGATAATACAGTCAAATGACTGTGTTTTAAAGTCATTCAGAAGAGTTCCCTCGATACACATTTAGGTTTATTGGTTTCATTTTACTTTCATCTTTTAGGGACTGATTTTCAAAAATAATTTTATCATGTAAAATGTATACGTTTCAAAAGTCAAATATACTAAACAAAGTACATTCAGAGAAGTCTAGCCTCTTTTTCTGACACTCTATTCTCTCCTTCCCTGTTTAAGTAACCAATTTATATATATTTTTTTCTTTTTATTGTACTTCAGGTGAAGGCTTACAGAACAAATAGTTTCTCATGAAACAGAAGTACACATGTTGTTTTATGACATTGGTTAACAACCCCACAACATATCAACCCTCTAACTTCTCAACCTCTTTTTTTTTTTTTGGTGAAAATACACATAGCCAAAGATACACCATTTCAAAAATTTCTACATGCACAGTTCAGTGACATTGACTACGCTCTTCCAATTGTGCTGTTACTCTCACTTTAGATGAAGGCTTACAGAACAAAATAGTTTCTCATTTAACAGTTACTACAAATGTTGCCCTATGACAATGGTTAACAATCTCGCAACACATCAACAATATCCTTACTCAACCTTGGGTTCCCTATCACCAGCTTCCTTGTCCCCTTCTGCCTTCTGGCCCTTGTCACTGGACTCCTGTACCTTGTTAGTCTCATTTGGTTTTACGGGGCTGTCCACTCCCAGGCTGAACAGTGAACCTCGGAGGTAACTTCACCATTGAGCTAAAAGGGTGTCTGGGGGCCATACTCTCGGGGTTTCTCCAGTCTCCTTTAGGTCAGTAAATCTGGTCTTTTTTTTGTGAGTTAGAATTATGCTCTACATCCTTCTCCAGCTCTGTCCAGAACCCTCTGTTGTGATCCTGGTCAGAGCAGTCAGTGGTGGTAGCCGGGCACCATCTAGCTGTACTGGACTCAGTCTGGTGGAGGCCTTGGTAGCTGTGGACAATTAGTCCTTCGGACTAATCTTTTCCTTGTATCCTGTTCTCTTCATTCTCCCTTGCTCCCAAAGGGAACCAATTTATATTTTATGGCTTACATTACAGTTTTATATTTGCACCCTTCTACTCGCTATGAGTAGGAATTGACAGCAACAGGCTTGGTTTTTTTTTTTTAACTCCCTTTCACAACATGAGAGGGTGGCACAAATGGTTAAGCACTCTGTTAACTGAAAGGTTGGTGGTTCAAATCCACCCAGAGGTGCCACAGAAGAAAACCCATTACCCACTGCCATCAAGTCGATTCTGACTCACACCAATCCTTTAAGACACAGTAGAACTGCCCCATAGTTTCCAAGGCTGTATATCTTTATGTAAGCAGACTGTCACATCTTTCTCCCGCTGAGTCGATTTCAACCACCGACTCTTCGGTTAAAAGCCAAGCACTTAACCATTGTGCCACCAGGGCTCCTTTCCTCAGGCCTGGTGATTTACTTACGAAAAACCAGGTATTGAAAATCTTATGTGGTTGCTCAAGGGCAATGGTTTGTTTTTAACATTTTTTTACTCCTTTTCAACAGGTTTGGTGGTTGTTTTTTTTTTAAACTCCTTTTCACAATTTAAGAGCGGATATACACTGAGCATACCTTCTTATTCTTGACTTTAGCAGGAAGGCCTCTAGCGTTTCACAATTAAGATCCTCCCGTATTATTATTTTTAATGAGGCAATGCTACCCATTTCATCTGGTCATCCGCGACATCTCTGGGGAAGATAAAGGATATGAAGACTCTCAAACTGATTCACAAACGTGTCTGCTGACTGAGCAGCAACCCACTCTGGGAGAGCATCAAGCCTCCTAAATTCAACTTAGTACATTTTACACATGAAGAAAGGAAGACCCACAGAACTGAGGGGACCTGCTCCAACGAACACAGGGAGCCTGTGGGAGTTCGAGTCACTTGTCCCGAAGTCCAAATATCTTTGGCTACATGGAGAAGTTTGGGAGTCCGGATAAATCCACCGAACCTTTTTTATTGTATCCAACATACAGATGTTTATTTTCATACAGATGAATATCTTAGGGGACTCTCGAAAGAGAAAATAAATCACAAAAGGCCGCAAGGATGGATGAGGCAGTCACCGTCTGGACAACTACATTTGCAACAGTCCCAGGAGGGAGCCCCGCACCCATGCATCCTTGGAAGAGGTTCCCGTTCGAGTTCGGGGCGACGGAACACCCGGAGGTGTTCTGCAGGCACAGAGTCGGGAGGTCCAGATGTGGGGGTACTGGACCGTTTAGTTAAAGCTGTTCCGTTTGGCACCCCGAGAAGGACGGATGATACATCCTGGAGTCTAAGAAGGCAGAGAAAACCTGCCTGCCAAAGAAGCCATACCAAAGGTCTTAAAAAGAGACTGGTCCTGATGAGCACCCGTAGGCATTCAACGTGCCTCAGCTCTGGGCTTAGGGGCAGTACCAAGGTTTCGCGGGGCGGAAGCCAGGAAGTGGGAAGCTGGGGGCGGAGCGGAGGAAATGACACTAACGGGAGCGCCAATTGGGTGTGGCTGGGGCTGATCTCTCCGCCCTCTTGGGTAAAGGCTAACGGTTTCCGGTAGCGGCATCTGGGAGAGGAGGGGGAGAGTCTGCGTCCCACCATCCTTAGCCCCCGACCGTGCGACTCTGCACCCCCGTAGCAAGGCCAAGATGATGGGCTGTGGCGAGGCAGAGCTGGAGTCAGCGGAAGAGGCCGTGGCGGCCCCGGGGCCACCCCCCGAGCCTCGAGTCTCGGAGCCTCGAGCCCCAGTGCCCGAGCCGGGTCTGGACCTGAGCCTGAGCCCGCAGCCCGAGAGCCCCGAGCCTCCTAACTGCACCCCCGGGCGGCGGAAGGGGCGGGCGAACCGGCGGGGCGGGGCTCGGAAAGGGAGGCAGGTGAGCTGGGAGTAAGGTGTTGGCCCCAGCCAGCCGACGACACCGCGCTCACCTTTTCACTGCCCTGCGCTCTGCTCCCAGGTCCGATTCCGCCTGGCGCCGACCTCTCCCAGTCGGTCCGAGCCGCTGCCGGCGGCCGCTGTACCAAGCGAGAAGCTCGCGGCGCCGCAGGAGCTGGAGGCGCCCGCGCTTCAGAGTACCCTGGCCTTGGGCCTCGAGCTGCAGGCCGCGCGGGCCGCTGCTGGGAGCCAATTTGATGCCGCCAAGGCCGTGGAGGAACAGCTGAGAAAGTCGTTCCAGACCCGCTGCGGCCTGGAGGAGAGCGTAGCCGAGGGTGAGGACGGGCTACAGACGGCCAGCCGGGAGTGGGGGTGACGGGCGCCGCTCACCTCCGCCCCCTCTACGGTCTTAGGGCTGAACGTGCCGCGTTCCAAGCGGCTCTTCCGGGACCTGGTGAGCCTGCAGGTGCCCGAGGAAAAGGTTCTGAACGCAGCGCTGAGAGAGAAATTGGCGTTCTTGCCGCCGCAGGCCCGAGTCCCGCCCCCAAAGGTGAGGGACCCGGGCTCCGGCTTCCAGTCTCTCCTCCCTTCCCCCTGCCGCGGCTTCTGCCTCCTCCCAAGCGTGTAACCTTACTTTGGGTTCCAACTTCAACAGGAGCCCCCTGGGGCCGGGCCAGACATGACCATCCTCTGTGACCCAGAAACATTATTTTATGAATCTCCACACCTGACCCTCGAAGGCTTGCCTCCTCTCCGGCTTCAACTCCGGCCCCGGCCTTCAGAGGATACTTTCCTCATGCATCGGACACTGAGGCGATGGGAAGCTTAGACCTGGAAGATCCCTGGATGCAAGTTCGTATTTTTGTGTTAAAACTTTTTTTTTCCAGAATAAAGTGGTTTTGTTAACAAATGAACACTTTTTGGCATCCCTAAGATGGGGCTAACACTCCAGGGGCTGGAACACTAAGCCTCAGGTTGAAAGCTGCTTGGAAGTTCAATTTTTGGTCCTCTTTTTAGGAGACTGGTAAAGGGATGGCAAGTGGAAAACACCGTCCAATCAGGGATTTAAATACCCTCCTCTCCTCACCCAACTGTTTGGTGGGCAAGAAGTCTGGCTGTTAACCAAAAGGTTGACGGCTTGAACCCACCCAGAGGTGCTCAGAAGAAAAGCCTGGCGATCTACTTCTGAAAGATCACCATTGAAAACTTCAGAGTGTAGTTCTCCTCTGACACACATGGCTGCACCATAAGTCAGAATCGACTCTATGACAACTGGTTTCGTTTTTACCACCCTAGTTGCCTCTTCCCCTGACATCAGTCACAGCTGCCACCCCTTTCTGCTTTGGATGACACTATGTTCTGTTCATTCCTTTGCACCGCTTATTTCTGATCATTTTAACATCTGCATCTTAGCCCACTTCAGGGAGGCCTTTCCCTAATTGCTCGTCTTAAAGAGATGTAAGGCAGCTGCTTGTACTGAGTTACTGAAATGATCTTTGCCTTTACCTTTAAGGACCTTGTCTGTCTTGTTTACACCTGACCCACCGAGTGCTCAGTATTTGTTCTATGATTGTGCAGCGACATTTGACAAGCCACTGAAGAGTATCACCTTATTGTCTATCTGGTTCCCCAATCCCAAAACGGGGAGTGGGTGGGTGGTCCTAGAGCAAGTTAGTGGCTCTGGTCCAAAGTGCCTTTTTCTAGCTCCACTCCAACTCCACTGTTAACTCTGTTCCAAGATTAGCCTTCTATCCAAAGCTCCCATCAAACGCTATGTCAGCAGGGGTTTTTTGGGGAGGGAAAATGGAACTTGTTCCTTGAATTTTTACATCATAGTTTGTATTACACCCCTTTTCCTGACTAGGGCTTGTGTATAGATTTGAGTAGCATTCCACAATCTTCCCAACTGCTGGAAAACGTGCTGTCTTCTTAAGACCGTAGTATGAGCAGAGAAAGCACAGGTCCTACTGGGAGGTGCCATTCCCTTTCCCATCACCTAGAAAGTGCCAGAGACAAGTGTGGGGGCCACTGCCTTAAACATCAAGTTTATTGTGCTGTTCTCACATTCAAAACTCAACCCCTCCTCCCAATGGGGGACAGCAGAGGGAAGGATTTTCACAGTACCTGCGTGCCTACCTGCCAATCTTCCCCCTCAAACCCTCAGTCCGTCTATCTGTGGTCCACTGAAATGCAGTTAGGGACGAGGGCCGAGGAGAAATGGGAATCTCTCTCCGTGGGAGAAGAGGAGGAAAGGGCTAGAGAATGTGATAACCCCACCTCCCACACCCTAGGAGAACAGAGGTCAGCAAACAGTCCATGCCATCCAGCCCAGCAGGCTGGGGGTGAGGAAGATGATGGTAACTCCAACACAGCTGGGCTTGCTGCTTAGATGCCAGAGATGTAGGGAGGAGGCTGGGGCAGCAACATAGGAAAAGCTTTCTCTGCAGATCCAAGAAAAGGAAACTATTTTTGGAGCCAGAAAGGAAAGACCTTGGGATACTTTCCTCTTTCCCCAGGTCTTTAGGAGCAGCGGGCAGCTTCTTCACACTTTTTGTTTAAGAGGCCACTTAGTGGCTAGGGGAACGGGCCTTGTGGAACAGGTACACAGGACGCTGGAAACCTGAGGGGAAAGTGTGCAATCAGAAAGGGTTGGCAGGACTTCCCCAGGACTCTATATAGGGTCTGCACCATCTCAGCCAGGACCTGCCTCCCTCCCTGTCCCCCAACAAAACAGGGTAGCCTTACCTTTGGAGGTGTTGTGGGGTGTGGCCACCAGCTCATAGCTGGTGAAGCCCACTTCTGGGGATGTCAGGTAAGAACTGAACTGCTCTGGCTTCAGCTGGATTCGATAGTAGTTCTTATAGATTGTTTCCTAGAAAGGAAGGGGACCACTTCAGCTTGCTGTCTTCTCCCTTGGCCAAGAATGATGCCCACCCAGACAGCCTCTTCACCTTGCCGTTCAGGAAGTCCTTCTCTCTCTGCTTCCTTACTATACTTCGTTTTTATAAGCCTTTCTTGCCTCGAAGGAAGGTTACCATTTCCATCAAACCTAACTTACCGTGAGTGTCTTTCTCTTGCCGTAGGATGACCAGGGTTGGGGCTCAAGGACAAGGATGCCCCCAGGACGTAGGTGCCGGTAGATTCGGCGAAACATGCGCTTCAGCCCCTCATCTCCCCAGTTCAGATGTACCCACTTGGTAAGGCTGAGGCAGAGCACCACATCATACTCGGGTGTTTGGGCCTCTACCAGCTCATCTCGATCCAGCACATAGTTACCCTGAGGACAAAAATTGGGGGTGAGGTTAACAGATGGAGTAAAAGAATCACTGCCCCCATACAACCCACTCTGCAGCTTCTAAGACAGAAAGTTCCGCAGCTGCATTTTAGCCCCTGGTCGCAATCTTCTCTGACACGCCTCAGAAAAACTCCCATTTGGTGCCCTCGACTCTTGTTTTCCCTTTAACACTTTCCTGCCCCGGATTCCTACTAGTGGTAATCCAAAGAAACAAAAAGGGAGCCAGGGTCAATTTGCAGAGAGAGAATGCCAGAGTTCTCCCCAGACCCTATCCAGTACTTATTCCCACCCTACAAACCTTAAGCAGAGTGACTCAATGTTATGCAAGAATACCTAACCCAGGTTTGAAAAGGAGACCTTCCCTGTAGTTAGGGTTGGCAAAGCTTCAGGCCCATCCTTTCCTTTCTCCCAGAGAAATGAAGAGCCATCCTTAGGAAACCTGGGAAGTCCATTCTTCCAGGCTTAACCCAACACAGTGCCAACTATTCCTGCAAACAGCCCAACTGGAGCGTTTGATGGGGGCTATGTGCAGTCGGGGGATAGGCCCTCTGCAAAAGACCATATTCTGCCTTCTCCTGAAGTGGAGTCGCTGACTGTTCCCACTATCTACGGTCCACATGGTGTTGATCTAAGGCCAAGCCACTTGGGTTCCTGACCACTGACACTCTTCAAGCAACTCTAAGGAAACAGAAGCAGCTGATACAAACTTGGTCAGAAACTGTAAATATTAGTTTGCCGCTATCCTAAATCCTGTCACCCCCTCCCCAAAAATGCCATGTGACACCCACGCCTTCATGCCCCTTCAGCATGTCTGTGGACAAGTTTACATCTTGATCAAATCCCCTAGTAAACCTTGAGACCAGAAAAATTAGATGGTGTCCAGCTACCTCCACTGACCATTCTGACTGGGGTCACAATAGATTGTCCTGGTTAGAATGGGAGAAAAATGTATAACAAAACTCAAATTCTTAAAAAAGTCCAGACTAATGGACCAGTTGAGACGAGACAACTCTGCAACTACTGCACTAAGACATTCTTTAAACCTTGAATGAAAAAACTATCCCGAGATCATCGATTAGCGAAATAGCAAGTGACACACAAATTATATTACCTGTAGGATCGGTACTCTACTAAAAAAAATCTGTATGAGACCTAAAGGTCAACATTTACTGTAAAGCAAAGATGAGAAGTTAAGGGAGGCAGGGAAACTAGAGTACTGGAAATGGAAGAACACAGAGAACGTTGACACGTTGTGAAAAACGTAACTAATGTCACTGAACACTTTGTGTGGAAACTGTCAAATGGGAACCTCACTTGCTGTGTAAACTTTAACCAAAAACACATTTTTTAAAAAAAAAAAAGCCCTTAGTGAGCAGTAGCTGCAGCCCCCAAGGGAGGCTGGATTAGCCCAGCCTGGGAGCAGAGCAAAAGGAGTCAACCACTGTCCTGGGAAAGAGAACTGCAGTCATGAGAAAGGACCCCAGGATTGAAGCTCCAAAGTTAGAGATCCCACCTTTCCCAGGTTATAGGTCGGGAAACACCCAGTGGAGGCACTCACTCGTCAATTCAGACCCTTCTCTTGATCTGGTTCTCTCCTAGTGAGGAGTTAATGCACTTAAGACCCTCTTACCGTGACGAAGACAACATTGTTGGGGAAGACTGATGTGTCCGCTCCATCCAGGGGCACTTGGGGTGCAGCAATGGGACCTCGGCTGGCTGTTAGCGAGGCTGGAAAGCAGCTTCTCTTCCGGATGGTGGCGGTCCCTTCCCCACCCTCTGCCCCTGGGTCCCCCTCAGGAGTCTGGGATGGGAGACGCAGCTCCTCTGATAAGTAGTGTCGGATGTTCTGGCGGGCAGAATGGATGAGCCGGGCATCGATATCCAGGCCCACCATGCGTGATGGGCCCCACTTGCAGGCAATGCTCAGGGTAAGATGGCCCACATTGCAGCCCAGATCTAGGACATCCCGGCCCCGAAACCACTCAGGCTTCAACACCCGAAGGCGCCCATCCTCACAAGAAGGATTGCGATACCCATAGTATTTGCAGTAATTCCCGTACTGGAACTTGCGCTGTTGCTTTTTGAAGCCTGCTGCAGGGAGAGGATGGTGGTGGTAGCGGCCTCCCCCACTCCCTCGGCCTTTTTCCTTGGGACCCTGGCCTCCACCCCTGGCCCCTGTCTCCGACTTGCTGGAAGTCCTGCGACGTTTGCGATGTCGAGAGGAGGAAGACGTGGGTGCAGGGGTAACTGAGGCAGCTGGAGGGACTGAAAGTGAGCCCGTGGAACCCTGTAGGGCAGTTGGAAGGGGAGACACCACCTCATCCCTGCAGTTGATGGCTGTGTTGAGTTCATAAGGCTGAGGGGCATCCCGGTTCTGGCCTCTATGCCGCTGCTGCTGCTGCTGCTGCGTGGCACCCTCCCCATGAAGTGAAGGAGTGAGGGGGGCTGGGGACAGCATGGAGGAGTGGCTATCATTCCCTCCAGCTGCCTGCTGCTGCTGATGGTGCTGTCCCCGGTGTCTATGCCGCTTCCGACCAGTCTTGAGTGGTGAAGCAAGAACTACTTGGGCCTCATCAGTGCAAGTATTGAGACTGAGTGGGTCAGTAATATCTTTGGGGATGAGGATCTCCACCGGATCACGCCCCTTGGCCGGAAGTGGGGATGATTTAGGGGTCTCTGCATTGAGTGCGCGGCTCACTTCCTCATCCAGAAGACTATTCAGGTTCAGTGGATCAAAGATATTGCCCCCCAGGAGGAAGTTGGACGGTAATAAAGAGTCACAGTCCGAATTAACTCGCCTGCGCCTCTTGAAGGCCGGATGTTTGAAGCCTCCACCACCTCCCCCCACATTACAACTATTTCTCCTCTTGCCTCCACCTCCCCCAGGGGGCCTGTGGGGCTGGTAGCCATTACGAGGTCGAGGAGGGGCAGGGGGGCACAGCTCTGTTCCACCCCCTCCTCGTCGCTCCTCCCCCACCTCCGGCGGAGCGGTTCGCCCCTGGGGATCCGACAAGCTGGCCTCCCCATGCGACAGCGCCTGGGGGCCGCCCCCTCGTTGCTGCTGCGACTGGCCACCCCGAGGGGTGGATGCAGCCCCGGGGCTTTCCCTGCCGTCCCCAGATGCCGGGACCCCAGCCGAGTGTACGCGAGGGCCCGGCTCGCGTTCCGTCCGGCCGCGAAGCTGCCCGGAGGCGTCCTCTCGGTGCGATTGCACCGTGGGGCCGCCCCCTCCGCTCGACTCATCTTTGAGCGGCGGCGGCGGGGCCGGCACCAGAAACGGCTCCTTCTCCGCCGCCATCTCGATCATTTCCAACCCTTACTCCGTCCCGGCCGAAAGCAACGAGGGGGATCAGGGGGCTTAACCCCCCTTCCTAGACCCTGCTCCCTTCCCCCCTTCCCCGGGTGCGCACGCAGCTCTGCTCTTCTCGCCTAGTGTCGCTCCAAGTGCCCCCCCAGCGCGTCCCCCTCGCCCGCGAGACCAAAACAAGATGCCCGCGAGACCCGACACTTGAGAAATCAACCGCGCTTGCGCCGACCCCTTTCTCCTCCACCACTACCACTTAATCGCGAGCGCGCACTACTTAAGCGCGTTCCTCTGGCCCCAAAATCACGCATGCGCACTCCGCCACCACCCTAGTTGCGCGCGCATCTGAGTACGAACCAACTTAACGGCTCCAGGGAGTTTAAATAGTCTCCCCCTCAGCCCCCCAAAAACCCACCACCCCAAACTGACACCCTACTTCCCTTCGCAGCTATGTCCGTCCCTACTGATATCCTTTGTCTCTGCCGCGCGATCCCACCCACCGTAGGCGGGGGCCGGGGAGCTGGTGTAAAAAGGTCTCCTTCGCACACGACCCTTGTTCCTGAGGAATGAGTCTCGGCGGTCTCCGCCCGGCTCTAAACCCAACAACCTCCCCACCCCGCCTCCTTCCTCCCCCTAGTGGGAAGCGCCTGCGCACACCCTTTTGGGCTTGCGCGGGTAGATACGGCACGTGCTGGAGACGACAACCCGCCCACCGTCCTATGGGCGGGGACTATTACGTCGCTTCCTCAGGTTTGAGACACGCAGCGTGCGCAGAGGGACTCCGAGAGGCGTGACTTCCTAAGAAAAGGGGCGGGCTCATGAATTATTCATGACTAGTTGCCCCCTTAGCCCATCTACTTAGAAGGGCTTTTGAGGGAGCCAAGGAGGGAACCTAAACGTAGAGGAAGGGAAAGATCGGAGTGTACTGACCGTCTTCCTACGAACTGTTCTCAGTAATATGCAATAGGTCATTTTAACTCACCGCCCCCCCCTCGAAAATATTCTCTGCTGGACTGAAAAACAACCCTAAAACAGCCGAGGTTTTCCAACTTCCTCCTGTGCTGAAATGGCTGAGTAGTTCTCGCTCCTCCGCTTTCCCCCAATCGCGATCACCTAGGTATACCCCGCCCTCCTCTCCGCCTCCACATCCACAGCCGGACACCAACGCCTCCACCCACCACCCGACGCCTGCGCACGAGCCCACCAGCCCGATGCCCACCACAGCCACCAATAGGAGTACACCCACCAACACCAACTCGTACGCAGTCCTTCCCCAACGCACTTTGCGGCTTTTCGCCGCCTTATATAAAAACGTCTGTGGGCGGGGAAGAGGATTCGGCCTGTTTTGGGGTCTCCCCGCATCGGCCAATGGGAAAAAGCTGTTTGACGCTCTTTCCACAGGGTGCTAGGCGGCCCGTTTCCTTTGCCAACAGAGTGCTTGGGGCTGCGGGTCTTGTGGCTGAGAAGAAGAGACAGCGGGACTAAGGATAGTCTCAAAGTGTTAAAATAAGGGTGTGACGGGGCCTAAAAGGAATAGGCATCAGGGAAAGAAAAAGAGGAAGGAAAAGGCAGACTGGGGCAGAGAGAAAAGATAGTAAAAGAAGGATGTGTTTCACGAACAATCAGGCGCTGCTGCCGCCTCCTAAAACAAAGGTGAAGCAATGAGGATTATGGGACTTGTAGTTTTACAGGTTGGAAAACGGCGGAAATCGCGCACAAGCGCAGCACCTGTTTTCAGCTGCGCATGCTCTTTGGCCTCGGGAGCACGCCGCCCGGGGCGGGGGGTGGAGCTTGTTCGCGTCCTCGCGCCTTTTCTTCGTGGCGGGAAAACTGGATCCAGGTTGTAGGGGCTTGCAGAATCGCTGCAAGTGCTCACTCTACTGCTCTCGTTTAGGTCCTCCTCGCTCCAGAAGGTATTAGACTCTTCTTAGGTTGCAGATGAAGTTGCTAGGCGCGGGCGATCCTAGTACCTGTTGTCTGAGGAGAAGCTTTCTCTTCAGGGCGACAACCAACTCTTACCCCTCCTCAGAATCTAACCTCAAACTCACCCCCAACACACAAAGAAAAATACCACAATATAATCGCGGGCAACGACGATCTGAGCGGGAATGAGAATCCTGATACTTCAGCAGTAGGGTTAGCTGAGGAGAAATTCTCTCCTGGTAGGATTCTTGATGTGGAAGAGAGGCTAGAAAGCCACTGTAGTACCTTCTGCGGGGAGTTAAGGATGGCTAACTGTGTGATACCTCCGATCTTAATTGCTGTCCGTAAGAGAAATTGGTGAGGGAAGAGAGCAAAAATATGAATCTCCCAAAGTTCTTGTCTTTGGTTTTTCAAGGGGGGATTAGGCATTTTCTATTTCAAACCTTGACACCTATGTGGGGAGATGGTGCGGGGATCTGGGAGTTCTATGGGCATGTGCTCCTTTAAGAGAAAATAAAACAATGCTAGTTTCAGGTCGGTACCAGTTTAGGAAATGTGGGTCTGTGATGGCAAGAATATGAAAGACGTCAGCAGTCTCCGAAAGGCTCTTTTGGTGTTAAGTGGCCATATCTGTGCTTCCTTGCACTCTCTGAATGAGGAAGTTTTAGTTCACCATTAATTTATAAGATTCTGTACAAGGTTTAGTTCAGGCAGTTACTGTTAGATATGACAGTAAATGTCTTGTTAAATGTATAGTATGAGCAGTAAGGGTAGCTGGAATCTTTATTGTTTCTTTTTCTTTCTTGTTGAAAGTTTTGTTTTAGATCATGCTTCTTGAGCACAAAAAGAGAGAAAAACCAGTACTAGTTATTCAGGCATGAAAGCAAGCAGGAGTCCACATGCCATTAGACATACACGCTGAAGGAAATTGGACTCAGGCTTAAAAGAAGATTTAAATATAGGTTTTTGGTTTTTTTTAAAATATGTTTTTTAGGCTCAGGGAGTGTATGTTAGAGGCCAACTCTAAGGGTTTACTTTTGTCCTTTTAGACCAAGGATTTGAGGAACAATATAAGGAGGGAACAGTTGAATAGTCTGGAAATTTGTGAACACATTCTAAATGGGACAGGGGAAGATTATTGCTTTTTGAGAAATAGTGACAAGACTGAATTATTTAGCTAGATCAGTTCTCAAACTTTTTGGTCTCAGAACCCTTTTGTACCCCTCAAAATCATGGAGGACTCCAGAGAGCTTTTGTTTATATGATTTCTACCTATTCATATTAAAATATTAGAAATTAAAACAGAATATTTAAAAATATTTATTTAATAATTAATTTAAAAATAACAATGATAAACCCATTAACCAAAAAGAAACTAAACCCGTTGCTGTCAAGTCGATTCTAACTCATAGCGACCCTATAGGACAGAGTGGAACTGCCCCATAGGGTTTCCAAGGAGCAACTGGTGGATTCAAACTGCCGACATTTTGGTTAGCAGCCTGAGTTCTTAACCACTGCACCACCAGGGCTCCATAAACCCATTACATGTTACCATAATTAACATATTTAATGAAAAGTATTTTTTCCAAAACAAAAGAAAATTTAGTTTGAAGAATGGCGTTGTTTTATATTTTTGCAAATTATTTTCATGTCTGCCTTATTAGAAGACAGCTGGATTCTCATCTGTTTCTGTATTCAACCTGACATCTTGTTTTGGTTGAAGTATATGAGAAAATCCAGCCTAACACAGATATGTAACTGGAAAAGGGAGGAGACTCCCAGGGGTCTTCGGACCACACTTTGAGAACCGCGGTGCTAGGTGATTTCATTTCAAAATGAATGTGATGATTTTTAGTGTTCTAAGTGAAAGAAAACTGTTTCTATTTTTTAGAGAGCTTCATTCATCTTTCTTTTATTATTTCTGTGTAAATTCTTTCTCCCCCCTTATTCACCCTCCTTTTATATGTTGAGTGGATAAGATTGTGTTTATGAAACTGTCCTGGTTCTTTTACTTTCTTACATAAAGCCTTGTTGGATTTTTTTTTTTCCCCTCTCCTTTTCATCTAAGGTAAGAAAACAAATTAAAACCTCAAATGTTATTCCTGAGTCTAGAGCCCACAGTCATTTTGTATATTTATTAACTGTTTATTTTTTTTCTCTCTCTGAACTAGCTTTTAATATTCGTTATTGTGGAAGAATTTGTCTGAAACAGAGGAGCAGTGTCAGCAAGTGATTCTCTGGCTTTCTATTCTCTATTGATCAGGTTAGAGCTTTTCTTTAAAAGTAATGTTCTTCATCATACCTCCAATCTAGATTAAGGGGTAGTGCAAACAGTTAATGTGCTCAGCTGCTAACCAAAAAGTTGGAGGTTTGAATCTACCCAGAGGTGCCTTGGAAGAAAGGCCTGGCAATTACTTCTGAAAAATCAGCCATTGAAAACCATATGGAGCAAAGGTCTTTTCTGACACACATGGGCTTGCCATGAGTTGGAATTGACTCAAGGGCAACTTTTTTTTTTCAGTACAAGAAACAAAATGTTTATTATAAGGATTCAGAGGAATCTCACAGAGATTAAAGGAAAGGGACTAAAGTGTAGTTGACCTCAAGATAGCAGAGACCAGGGACTGGGAGCCAAAAGTGTACATTCACTCTTATTCTCTCTCATTCTCTCCCTCTTCTCTCTCTTTCTCATCCTTTTTTTCCACCTGCTCCATTCTCCTTTGCAATTTCTCTTTCCCCTTGTACACTTACACATGCATGTATGGCTGCATCTGTTCTGACTCTACATGATCTACCTGACTATACTGTTCTTCATCTGTTGCTGGAGTTCCCAACAATAATAACTCTTCAATTTTGCAAATTGTAAATTCCCAACAAAGCACTCTAATTAACTCTACTCATGTTTTCAATGAGTTGCCCTAAGGTCAGGTATAGACACCCCATCCGATCAGGTAAGGCCACATGGGAGTGAGGTCACGTGGAATCTAACAGGTGACCAGAAGAAGCTGAAATGCCATAAACATTTCTTGTACAGTGAGAAGAAAGATTAGAGAGAGAATAGAGATGAAATAAACAAAACAGCAAACCAGCTGATAAAATGAATCTGCATATATTCTCTATAGTCAACCCTCTATAGATTTTCTAAATCTAGGAAATTGGATGGCCTCAAGGGCAACTTTTTTTTTTCTGTTATACATCACTTCTTATAGATTTACTACATCTTATTAACTCAACAACGATCCATAATTTTATCCATTTGTTTGGGGCTCCAGAAGCACACTTTTGCCTAGATAGGTCTGTACAGGTTTAGATAAGGTTTTGAACCTGAATATTGGGAATTCTTGCGTTTTTAGGTTGATTAAAATACTCTTTTTATTTTACTTAAAGAATTTAGAATTTAAAAAGTCATTTTTTGAAGTGGTAATATATGTATGTTATAAAATGCCAAAGATACATAGGGGTTTCCTTGAAAAGTTAAGTTTCCTTCCGCTCTGCCCATTTCTTGTGTATTCTTCCAGTGATAGTATATGGATATGCAAGCATATTATGTAGATATACATTTAAAAAATCAAATGTTATCATCTCAAGCACTAATTTTCATTTTGCTTTTCTCAGTATAGCTCTTCTAATTTAGATGATCTTCACAGGAACTTCTCATGATCTTTTTTTTTTTTTGTAATTCTGGAGTCCAGGGTAAGATATGTTTGTCATTTGTGGAGGAGCCCTGGTGGCACAGTGGTTAAAGCACCCATGCTAGCCGAAAAGTCAGAGGTTTGAACCCACCCAGCCACTCTACAGGAGAAAGATGTGGCAGTCTGCTTCCATTAAGATTTATAGCTTTGGAAACCCTATGGGGCAGTTCTGCTCTGTGCTATATAGGGTCACTATGAGTCAGAATCAACTTGATGGCAATGGGTTTAGTTTGATTTTTTTGGTCATTTGTGGTCAAATACCTCTTGCAGCCTAATTTTATTCAGCTTCTAGGATTTTATATTTAGGATTATATGGGATTTATATATATAGTTTTATATTATGATATTTAAGATTATATTAAGGAAGGAGACTAATTTGCTACAGTGTTTCTCCCCTAATTTTCTACTTGTCTTTTCTGGAACAAATACTTTTGGGAATTGGTGGTGATGAATTAAGATGGGAATAGTGAGAAAATGTGCTCCTTAATATAAAGGAAAAGTAATTGCTGCAGAACAGCACATCTGAATTATTCACATTTAAAGAAGTATGAAAAGGAATAGAAAAATGGCAAAGGATAATTACTTTTAAAAATATTTTATATTCAGTCATGCTATGGCCATACTAAGTCAAACCCTCAACATCTTTTGAGTTCGTCTTGGGATCTAGAGAGAAATCCTGTACCTGGAACCAAAGGATCCATTTTATGTTGTCTTTAAGTCTCTTTTTGGTGGGAGACAGTAGAGTTGGAGAAGTGAGTTTCCAGTCCAGAGCCTTCAAAATACTCAAAATCAGCAGCATTGATTGAGAAGATCATTGAGAAGAATAGAAGAGTTCTTAGTAGAATTTAGAGACAAAGGTCTGGGATCATCTTGGCTCTACCATGTATTAACATTGAAGCTTTGGGCAAGCCATGTAACCCCTTCTGTAAAAAGAGGTGATGGAACTCTATGACCTGTAGATGCCCTCCTCGAGCTACAATGCTCCTTATAATTGTTAGAAAAATAAGAATGGTTTATATGTTATAAGCCTAAAGAAAACCAGGTGGAAGGACTATAAGAAGTTTAGGTTGATAAAACAAGAGTTATTTATCTTCTAACAGCTGGGTAGAGTTATCAATAGTGGGAAAGTGCAAACTGGAAAAATGTAAATTACTGGAACTTCCCAAGACTCATCTTCGGACCCTGTAGCGCCATGAATGGCTTATAGCTGTGTGGAGCTAGATCTCTTCAGTCTTTGGTGTGGTTTGAGGCTCTCCACTCCCACCTTTCAGTTGCCTATGGCTGTGAGTGGCCTGGTCCTTTTACCCCAGAGTATCTACAAATATCATTTTCTGAGTGTGTTTCCAATGGGTACTTTTAATGCATGCTTTCTGTGTGTGCTGTGATATGAAAATGATTGTGAGGCACTGAATTAGACTACTGGGATGCAGTGTAATATAGTTAATAGCACAAACTTCTAAAGCAGATGGACCCTAGTCCTGGTCATTTATTAGTTACTTAATGTCTCTAAGCTTCAGTATCCCCAAGTGTAAAATGTTGTCTATCCCATAGATTTACTGTGAGAATTAAATGAGATGATATACCGTATTTTTGTCAAATAACGTGCCCACATAAATAACATGCCCACACATATAATACACATAACACGCCTAGGAGAATAATAGGTGAGGGGGTTGCATGGTTGGCACACACACACACACAAAAGTGTAACGTGTGAGTTATTTGTGTAAAATATGCAATGTAAAGGGTAAAGGATATAGTCAGTGCTCAGTAAATGTTAGCTGTTATTGTTAGTCACAATATCAGTAGTAATAATGAAGCATATTGATGTACTATAGAGCATCTGTGAATAGATTACTGCAGATGAATGAATATCAAGTGAAAGTACTAAGTTCTTACTGCTAGTTTCTCTGAGGACCTCTACTGGTTACCAGACATTTCGGAGACATGAATACAGATGGCTAGAATCCAGCACACTGGGAAATTTATTGGACTTGAAGCTCTCAGTAAAGGGAAAATACACATTATAATGTTCTCTGTATGCATAGGGACCTCTGAATTAGTTCAGAGATTTGCCAAATTATTTGTGTTCTAAGTATTTAGGAAAATCGTGTAAAATGAGATCATCCTTCTAAAGAAAATTCCCACTCTTTAACTCTTAGGACTGTCCAAACTCTACTACCATTGCTCTACTACTGCCTATTCATCCATCACTACTACTGCTACTTCCACCTACTTATGAGTGCCTGTGTCACACTGGACATGGTTCTAGGCACTTAAAATACTAAGGATCATTGCTAATTTTTCAAACAGCAACTGTATTCCCTAGCATGTAGTTGGCACTGCTGAAGAGGTAGAAGTCTAGTCTTCCTAGACTAGAAGGCAGAAAATGTAGTTCAGGGATCCCAGGAAAGGAGATCCTGAGTTCCAGAACACAGGGGGAGAAGAAAGTTTAAAATTATGTTTGTTTGTTTTTTTTATTGTACTTTAGCTGAAGGTTTACAGAATAAATAGTTTCTCATTAAACAGTCAGTACACATATTGTTTTATGACATCGGT